AGCCACCACACTATTCCATGGCCCGGAACCCTTCTGCGGGCTCACCAAAGCCCACTTAAGGGAGGTCATAAACAAGTGGGTCGACATAAAATTCGACAGGCACTGGAATGAATGTCCGGGGCAAAGACAAGCTAAGCGGTTCATCTGTCCATCACAAGAAGCTTCAAAAAAGCTCATAAATCTAGGCAGGGAGGACCTTCGAACTCTCACTGGGTACTTCACGGGACATTGTTCCCTGCGTTATCACCTCAGTAAAATGAATCTTTCAGACACGAGCGTCTGTCGCTTCTGTGAGATGGACGAAGAAACGCCAGAACACATCCTTTGTGAATGTGTTGCTCTCGCTAGACGCAGACTCGCTCACCTAGGTGGTACAACACTTAATCCATTCGAAATATGGAACAAAAAGCCCACCGAAGTGCTAGCTTATATTAAAAGCCTTCATATATAGGGTAAAGGGCCACGCACAATAGACCAACCTAGAGGTCGCAGTGCTCAAGGCTCATAATAATAATAATACATACCTACATATGTATGTATGCATATAACTACACACATAGTGAAAATAGTTATTAGTACAGTGATTGTTTTACAATATTCGCGATGTTTTAAATAATAAATTTTTCTTTAATTTTTCACGAAAATACTTTTCATATTTTACACAAAAACCATAAGCATAAAATTTTCAAACTTTTTGCAAAATTAAGAAAAAATTATACAAACTTTCATAAAAATTTTGAATAACAGTTTTAAAAAAAAAAAAATAGTATGCAGTGTTGTAGCTCATTCAATTTCAGTGAATAAAACGTAAGCTTCAAATTACCTTTGATTTTTTAGAATTTGTTTCTCAAGGGTGTTACCTATTTTCTTCCATGAACAAAATGTAGTTTTGCATGGAAGAAAACCCTCAACACCTTTGAGAAAAAATATCAAAAATCAACGCAATTTTTAGCGACTTCAAACTTGCATTTTTTAGCACTGAAATTGAATGAGCTTCAAAACTACTCACTGAATTTTTTTCCAAAAAATCTGAATCAAAAGTTTGAAATATACATCAGGAATGTTGCGAATGTGGAATTTAGACATCCACGGATGCGAATTCGGATGCGGATGTTTAGTATTTTTATACCTAAGCGCACTTGTGCACAAGGGTATTAAACTTTGTTCACATAACGGTTGTTTGTAACAGGCAAAACGAATCGAAATAGATATAGACAAATGTATACATAAATGATCAGAATGAAAAGTATAATCGATTAAGCGGTGACTGTCTGTCCGTCCATCCGTCCGTCCGTCAGTCTGTGCACACGATAACTCGAGTAAAAATTGAGATATCTTAACGAAACTTTGTACGTGCACTTCTTTCGGGGACGGATGGTATTGAAAATGGGCAAAATCGGACAATAACCACGCCTACCTCCCATATAACGGTGCTTTTCAGAAATACGAAAACTGCGATATTTTAGTAACAACTGAAGATTATTCACTCAAGATTGATATTTACAATCACTTTTAGGCAAAAAGTAAGAATATTATAAATTTTTGGAAAATGGGCGTAGCCACGCCCACTTATGATTACATGTGTATACCTTGGGAACTGCCCCGCCAATTTCTCCCAAACTTGTCACAGTTGGCCTTCACAAAACATACCAAACGATTGAAAATTTAAAAAATCGGATAATAACCATGCCCACATCCCATGTAACGGTAATTTAGAGAAATATGAAAGATTCGATAAATCAGTAAATACTGGAGCTAATTTATTCAAGATTGATGTTTTCAATCATTCTTTAGCAAAAAATACGCTTATAATAAAATGTTGCAAAATGGGCGTGACCCCGCCGACTTATGATCACATATATGTATCTCGGTAATCGTTCTACCAATTTGTACCAAACTCGGTATGATTATTGTGGCTGCCACATAGGGGCAAAACGTTGAAAGTTATTGAAATCGGACTAAAATTATGCCCACTCTTTCATAACGGTAAATTTCAGAAATGCCTGAAACTTCGATATTTCGAAATTTAAGGACGCTAATTTTACTCAAACAATCCTTTGAAAAGCAGTTACATTATTATTGAATTTTGGAAAATGGGCGTGATGTCGCCCACATATATCTTTATAAGTTTATCTCATTATATCTAACTGAACGTTCTATCGAAGATGTTTGAAATAGTGGTAACCCCACCCCTGTTTACCATGTTGCGGAAGCTTTAGGAAAGGGGAAAATCATATATTTAATACTTGTGCCGGGTATTTAATGTTCGGCTCCGCCCGAACTTAAACTTTTTTACTTGTTAAGAAATAATTTAGGTGATTTCGTTAAATCAAAAATCTAAAGGTTAGTAATTTTTAATAATATTTCTTTAGTACTTGAACTTAAAAATTGGAACATTGTATTCAATAAAAAGTTTTAAAAAGGTCGTAATTCAGGGCCACTAAATAATTGCTCGCTCGAGGCGACAAACTTGGAACTTGACGAAATTGTAAATTCTTTTCGATTGACGCTGCACCAGTCGAGAAGATTTTCAGTTATATTTAGTGTTTTTTTTTTATTGCGGTGCAATATTTCTTTTGTGAGAATTGCATCGGGCTGCATATGTCGGATGTATCCTCCTGACTTTCATCTTCACAATCTAGTATCATGGTAAGATCGTTGTTTAAACACCGTTGTTTTCCAAAGAATTTTTCATTCTCATTCTTTTGGTTGTTTCTGAATTTGGAGTACCTGTAACGTCAACAGCGTTTTTCGATTATAGTTTTTGTAATTCATTTTTAATCCTTTTTTTCTGTGACTGGCTAGATATACGTTTTATCAGTGCACTTGCACAATATTCCAGGGACCGAAAATAAAAGTTATTTTTTACCATTTAATTTTGGCCTAATATTTTTTATTCCGAAATAAAAGTTTTTTCTGGATAATAAACAAACAGCTTATCAAAATTAAACAAATTTAATATCATGTGAAAGAGGACTGAGATAGCTTTTAAACAGAAATAACGAACGAAGGTTACCAACTCTATTTATATCATTTAATACTAAATAAATTCATATACCTGACCCAAGGTTTCTTCTGTGGTAATTAATTAACATTTTTTATTGAAATATTTTTCAATAGGTGGCTTTTCTCGTTTAGACATTGCAGTTTTAAAGCTATTTAAGTCCTCTTTCAGTTGATACCAAACTTGTTTAATTTGGATAATCGGTTTGATTATTATCCGGAAAGGACTTTTAGTTGGGAATATTTGGCCAGTTACATGCATACATATGTAGGTTTTTTTTATACAAGGAGAAAGCATCGAAAGCCTGTACCCCGTAGTGTGGAACTTTAATCCAAACTAAAACTCTATGTATGTCCGCTGCACCGTATCCCTCCGGCACCACCATAAAGTAAGTAAGCTCGATCTAGTATCTAGTTCATTGTGCACAAGTTTCAAATCAATCGATACATAAACGTCTGAGATATAGCGAGCTTTAGTGAAAATTTCGCTAAAATTGGTCGCTGTGAAAAATCAGATTTTGTGGGTTTTTCGACATAAAGGCATGAGTAAAAACTTGGTTAAAATTAACTTTAAATGTATTTTTGAATAAGCTCTCGATTACAATTCGTTTGAAAGCGCTTCTCTCCACTTGAAATTTATGTTTTTTTACGTTGCCTGTTGTTTTCGCTGCTTGTTGTTTTTTTCGCTGTTGTTGTCGCCCAAACTTTGCGAGAAGAATAACGGATCTGCGCATGGCGCAACCTCTTACATATAAACCCTGAGTTCAGAGATAGTTCTGAAATGTATAGGGCGGAACTAGCACTTTAACAGACTGTCTCTAAATTTTATTGCAGGGAAAGTTTGCGGCTAATAAATTTTTGACAAGTATGAGGTGAATAAAATTTCAGTAGCTCATGAGGCTAGTGAAATTTTTGAGAGATGCATAGAAAATGTTAACAATCGCAAAGATTGCTGCTGTGTGTAATTTTTCGTAAAACAAAAGCTTAAATTGATGAATTGCAATCAATGATCCCTGCAAGCCACAGCTAACCACCCTGCAAGCCACAGCTAACCAGTTGCCCCTGAAATTCAACAGATTTACACACACACTCGCAACTTTTTATCTATGCTACCCACACATTTACAAATTTATTTTTCCGACTGTCAAAACAAAATTCTGAGTGAGAGCACCGGACCTAATAAACATTTTTACTGTAATAAGAATTTTATGCGTTAGAGCGAGTAAGTGGAAATGAAGCAAAATTTGACAGCTTTGATCACAGAGGCTGTGACTTTAGCAAAAGTTTGACATCTTTGATCACAGTAGGCTGTAAATAAAAGCGTTAATTTTGCAAAAACATTTGAAGGTAAGAGAACGTTTTAACAATTTGCATTGTTTATAATTTTTTTCTTTTAGATTGCCGAAACACTGCGATTTAATCATATAATTAAGGTATGTATTAGAATTATTCAAATATTTGTATATTTTAATTGATAATTTTGCATTTACAGATTTGCGATTTTTCATTCTAAATTTATCTTCGACCCTGCTACCACGGAACATCAACGCCACCTCCAGTCAGGCACCACACCAGCATATCCACCACCTTCAACGCCGCCACCAATAAACCACCAATAAACCAATAAACAGCACTGCATACATTATTCGGTAAGTTTTCATGCGACGAATAAACGTTGCTTCTGCTGCAACTGCCTACATTAATCATGTTCCTGGTGCTTCCCGATTTGCACATTTCACAAGAAAAGCTGTTTTTGCAATTAATAAACCTTATGGCGTACAGAAACAGCTTCCTATAAAAACCTGCGAAACGTGAAGTACCTGGAACAGGCTTATTTAGTGCGTTCCAGAACGTCTACGATTTGCAGGTTTTGCAGGATTTAGTCCAAAGTCGTTCCCGTACGCCACGTTCACATAAGGCTTATTAAAGGCAAAAACAGCTGTTCCGGTAAAACCTGCAAATCCTGCAAATCGTGAAGTACGGGAACCGACTAATTATGTGCAAATGTAAACAACAAAAGAAAGTGCAGTGCTACATATGTAAAAAGTGTAGTAGGTCAGCCTTTGGCTGTTTTCCAAAACGAGTCAGTTCAACAAGTTGTAAATTGGAATTTCATGGTTGTGCGCTTAAAAACTGATATGTTTTGGAAAACAGTCTTTCTTACGATTATGCGATACCTTTTTATGTGCATATATTTTCAAATTTAGGACTGGTGAATGCGGTCATTCTGGAAGCCATAGTTTACAAAGTGTAGTGCACAGTTCAACAACAGTGATTGGGTTTGCTACTTCATAGCAGCAGAGGAAATGGAAACATTGCTCTGCTATTGCTACTTCTCTACTTGAATGGATAAGAAGCACGGCCAGAATCGGAAAACACACGAGGACCTTTCTTGTTTTACTTGGTTCTATGTTTCGTTGAGGCACAGATCAGGTAGGAGAACTAAAATATGAACGAAGTGATATTTGTAGTCAGAGTAATAGCACATACAACAATATTATGATAGCCTCAACGAAACATAGCACTAATTAAAACAAGAAAGGCCTTCTTGTGTTTCCCGATTCTGACACTGCTTCTCATCTATTCAAGTAGAGAAGTTGCAATAGCAGATCCACGTTTCCGTGCCACTGCTGCTATGAAGTAGTGAACTCAACCACTGGTAGTTGTCATAATTCGCAGTAGTAACAGTTTAACATGAAGGTAGAATTTTTATTTTTGGATTCCTGATACGAATAAGTTTATTTTAGTTCCGATTCTGCATAATCTTTTTTTTTTCCTTCTCTTGAAGCAATGGATTTGTCACCACTGTTCCTGGGAGATACCGAAGCGCTCTCTCCACCACGCACGAGCAACACAGGTATTTCGAAAATATACATACATATACATTTACAATATGTTTAATAGTTTTTAATCAAACATTCCTGCGCTTTCAGATGTAGCCCTACATAGAAAGCGCTTTCATGTGGCACTGCCTTACGAGGAGCGCTTTGTCTCCCAGCCAACAGTAACCACCAACACGGGTGTAGCCACTACAACAACAACAAGCAACACAGGTCAACAATTTACCTTGTCTCACCTGCTGGAGAGGCAAAAAGAAATGTTTGATGGCGTCATGGCCGCCATTGGAAGAGTTGAGTCAAAGGTGGACGGAATAGCAAATGCTCTGGCCGAAAAGGTTATATCAATGTACATATTTATGAATGCTAAAATTATTGTTTAATAATTTTTTTTTTTTTCAGATGCCCGAACGCGCCGAAGTTCAAGCTCAAGGGCAGCTACTGCGAGAGTGCAAAGTGGTGACCTCGAAAGTTCACCAAAGTATTTCCCGAATCACTGGAGATGCTATTAGTAAAGAGCATACTTTGCTTCAAAGTATGCTTCCACTATCATCCCAGGAAAAGTTAAATACTTTGGAGAATCTTTTGGGAAACAAACCACACTCCGATGCGATGGTAATTTTTGCTAATTTGTTTTATTGTTTTTTATACACATATACAAATGTATGTATATATCATATTAGTTGTATATATGCATTTTATTTTACTCATATTAATTTTTATTCGTATATACATATGTATGCAATTTTTTTTATTAAAATTTGGTTTATAGTATGTATAACAAAAATCGTAAAAACCAAAGTTCCAAACTTTGTACAAATAACAGGAAAATTCGATAAAATTTAATTTAATTTTCATGCACTTTTCCAGCTTTTTGATACGAATTTTAAAAATGTTTTGAGTGTGCAATTCTGTAGCCCACTGATTTTTAGTATAATAATATGCAAGTTTGAAATTTTCACAAATGCGATTTTTTTGTGAACGGATTGGCTTACTTTCTCCCATACAAAAATAAACTCAATCACACAAAAGAAAATCTAAAAAATGCCGCAAATTTGTAGAAACTTTAAACTTAAATCTTATTATAATAAAATTCAGTGGACTATAAAATTCCATACTCGAAATATTTTTACAAATCGTATCAAAAAGCGGGAAATGGGCATGAAAATTTATGGAAATGGTTTGTATGATTTTTGTTGTACTATGAGCCACTTAACTCTATCTTTCAAGAACACGCAAAACAGCATATGTCAACAAAACATATTTTACCGTTAAAGAGAACTATATTATAATTAGAAAACAAAATACATATTTAGCTTGTTGCCGTACTCTAGGATTTGCAGGTTTTACAGGAACAGCTGTTTTTGCCTTTGATAAACCTTATGTGAACGTGGCGTATGGGAACAACTTTGGAGTAAATCCTGCAAATCGTAGACGATCTGGAACGCTCTAATTATATAATTACTTTTTCGCTGTTCACAAACTTTTGAAAAATTTGTTTTCAACAACTAAATATTTTCTTTTAAATAACAGTTTTTGCTGTGACTTACCGCTCTGTAAACATATGATATTTTGCTTGTCTGTGAAAGATTTTGACGATTTTTAGTTAAAGATGCAGTTTTACCATTTTAAATAAGATCTTTCGATTGGTGTTAATTTATATTTCGTTTATGTAGTCATATATTATATTTTATTATTTACATTTATATTTATAATTGCATTTATGTACATATCTAGTATTTATAAATTTTATAATCTTTTCCAGCTGAACATAATTTTAAAATTGAAGGGTGCTAAGGGTTGTGTGAAACACGTGTTGAGAAGCATTTTTGCCGACACTCTACTCATTTCATACAATTATGAGGGCAAAGCCAACAAAGCTCCACTTCTGGGGCTAAAAACAATAGAATTAGTTTTCGGTAAATATGTTTTAATTGTTTATTTGACTTATGTATTTCAGGAAGTAATGCATTTATATTTTTCCAACAGATGCGTTTGTGAGTATGCCCAAAATTGACCTCATTGCGGAAATCAGAAAGCACGTGTTCCTAAGCCACAATAGGTACAAACAAATTGTAATAAAAAAAAATTAAACATAATAACAAATCTAACAATAATTAATTTAATTATCTTATTATTAATCTCTAAAAAAAAAGTAACATAAAAATTTAATAACTTTCCAATCTAAATTTCAAAAACGTTATTTAAATACGGCTATTCGGGATTTTTTGTATATCGACTGCGGAGTGGAAGATCGACCTCGGCAGCCAGTTCGAAAATTACCTATCTCAAAAAACTTTTCAAGAACGCCCTATTTCAGAATTTTATTAAAAAACGCTCCCGAGTTCGGTTCAAAAAGGCCCTATCTCACTTCAAAATGTATTGAAAATGTGCTGAGATAGGACGTTTTTGAAACGAATTCTAAAAAACGAATTGAAAAGTTTTTTGAGGTAGGATGTTTTCGAGCTGGGTGCCGAGATAGGTCGATCTTCCACTTAGCAGTTGATATGCTCTTGAATTCTGTATTTGTGGTTTTTCTTAGGTAATGGAGTAAACTTTTATATTGTATTGCTGTAAGAAATTTCACTACTTTTTCTACCAAAAACCACAAATACACATGCAAGGGCATATACAAAACATCCCGACTACCTTTATTAATTTGTAAATAATTGTACATAGTTAAAAAAGTAAATTTTAACAATAGTTTTTTTAATAATTTTATATTAAAATTTGCATACTGGAATTTTAACAACAAAAAACCTACCTATCTACCTATTTATAAAAGCTTAGTAATTAGTAAATGTAAATACATAGTTTTAAACATTTTAACAGCAGAAATAACAATAATTAATTGAATTACTCACTGATCTGATTATTTAAATTAATATTTTATTATTTAATAAATTTTAATACTACATTATTTTGTCCTTATGAAAGCGGTCATATTTATGTTTTTAAATATGTTATTGAAATAAATAAATGAATAATGAAAAAATTACTTTTTGTACAATTTACTTAAAAAATTTGTGGTTATAAACACCATAGCACTAACTACTTGAGTAGGTATCGTTAACTACATGGTAACCATAATATTAGCTACTTCAGCAGCTATCTTTAGCTACATGTTAACCACAACATTAGCCACTTCAGCAACCATCGTTAGTTACATGTTCACCACAACATTAGCCACTTCAGCAACTATCATTAACTACATGGTAACCATAACATTAGCTACTTCAGCAGCTATCATTAACTAAGTGTTCACCACAACATTAACCACTTCGGTCGCTATGAAAGGGGAATTAGAGTAGTTCAGCTATAGTTCGTTGAAATCGAACAGTTCTATTAGTGTAAGGGAGATAACGTATCACACGTATATGAAAAAGTGGTTAATATTTGCACACGGCTAGAACAAAGTTAGCCAGTTTATATACCGCTTCACAAATGAACGATAACTACCGGTTAACCACAATTCTAGCTGTTAGCTGTCTTGCAGGGATGGTAGATGTTTTCTTAAAATATTATATTTCACTTCAATTTGCAATAGTTTATTCCGAATAAATCTCCGGTTATCAAAAATTTACACAGCAGATTGGAAAAACTGTCTCACCATAGTAAAAACTACTGAACCCGCATGGCGTTAAGACGCCAAAATTGAGTTTAATATTTTAAACAGATGGCAACACTATTCACAAACAAAAAGGTCGTAACTTCAAAAAATAAAACCTTAATGCACATTTAGAATGACGGTGCTGATATGACACATTAAAGATCTGATGACCATAACCAAGAAATTATTTATTTATAAAAATTAACTCGAAACTAATTTTTTCGGTATATTATGGGTTTATTCGAAAGACCATATATTCCCATTAGTTATGGAACCCGATTTCATCATGTGACTGTATTCGCAGTAGCGCATCCTGTTAACCGAGTTCTCCAAGACCTTGTTGATGGTTTCTGACTATATCGTAAGAAATGCCCGACATACGCCTTAAAGGCCTGAATCGTTAATAGATTGCTCGCATTATATCGGTCCTTCACGACATGGCACAAAAATGTCTAAGGGCGTGAAATCGCGGCTCCGAGGGGGCCAATTGACTTCATCGAGACAGCTGATAATACATCAACTATCAACTGTCTGTCAAAACGTAGACAGGGTGTTTAAAGTGATGTAGAAAACGACTAAAGTTAATAAAATAAAGATAAAATTTGGCAAAATATACATTGAATTAAATGAATTCCGATGTTTATATAACATTTTAATATTCAGCCTCATTGCATAAGTCGTAAATAAGGCTGAATTGTACGACTCGACGACATTAGCATTGTCTACTGTCGAGCTGAAAGAAGTAGGCGACGAAAATCGTCCAAAACTATGCAGTGCTGCCAAGCTTTTCCGTTTTAATACACTAGTCGAGTGGAAATTTTAGGCAATGACGTTAAATTTTCGATAGGACTCGACTCTCGAAAAATGACTTGCATTCGGCACAACTCTCGCAATGAGGCTGATTTTAAAGCATTTTGGTCAATGACTACACTTAATAGAACTTTGTCAGATACCGTTTAAAGTTTTTTTTCTACATATTGAGTGTAACTCTGTAGCACATATAATGAGGTGATCTTAGCTGTGAGGTATTTCTGGAAATCATCCGATTCTTTTTTCATGGCCTCGTCAGAATGGGTACTTTGCGTACGTTCCGTTTGTGTTTGCATAGAGAGCGTCAGATTGGCAACTCTTGCGGCGATGGACCCAGCGAACGTAGGCCAACACTCAACTTTTGACGCACGTAAGTCCGTCACTGCTGACAGTTGTATAACCCCGCGTTTACACAAGACAAGTCCAATGAGAATATGCACATAATTTACACATTGCTTGAGTAAAGTAAGCATCCAGACAAAAACTGTCTTCGAAAAGCCAGAGACAGTGATAAATACATCAAGAGAAGTGGCAATATATCAGTAAAAAAATGTGAATGTGTTGCTATTGTATCTGAAAAATTGACTTGTGGAAACCCTAAGTACGCGGGCATAAGGAGCAGCTGATTTTTGTTTGCAGACGCAACACCTTCATTGTGACGTACATATCTCTACGGTACGTACGCCACTTCCTTCGCATACTTTTCCGTTATTGACGTACAAGTACCCATTCTGACGTGCATATCACTTGTAAGTATGCACAATGGTTGCCACTTTCGAAAATTATTACCAAAATTAGTCGACAAATTTTTGGTTGGCAAAAAGGTAAATTTTTTCATTTTGGTAGATTTTTGTTAGAAAAACAAATTCAACCTTTCGTACCCGCTTTATGTTTCGTAGTTATCTTTATATTATAAACTTTATATTATATAACTATAGCAAAAGTGTACTCTACTTTATTAAATTTATTTTCGAACACTTTAATGCACACTTTTTATATATGTACATATATTGCATTTGCATTTTGTTGATACGCGGTTTTGTACTTTAAACGACGAATGTATCATCCCCCTAGTATGCATCATCCAACTCAACATAGTTGTATATATACATATATAAACGTGCATACATATGTACATACTAGGGATGTTTCGAATGTCATATTTTTGGAATGCGAATGCGAATGTTAGGAATAACATTAAAAAAGCTATAATCAACTTAAGTCATCGTTTTTATTACTTAAAAATTTTGTAAATTATTAGAACATTGAACGAGTGCATAACCTATACATACGGTGACCATCCGTTCTGTTTTTTGCAGGACCGTACTGTTATTTAAAGGTCTGTCCTGCATAGTTTTTCAAAACAGAAAGCCCCCAAAATGTACTGATTTTTTCTAAGTGTCCTGCCTTTGTCCCGCATTTTCTTCGATATTTTATAATTAACTTTTCCTTATCGAAATAAAAGCAGTGTCGATAACTAATTGATAACTACATAAGGGTAAGCTGGTTTTGAAGGTTCAACTAGTCAATGCGTTCTAAATATTGTACGGTTATGGACAATGGATGACGAGAAATTGAAGACCAGCATCAAATATATCGATAACACTGTTCTACAAATTTTGTGGTAATCGCTTAAGAAAAAAAATATTTTCCAAGCTAATTTTCCTTTCAAACAAGTGCTTTCGTAATTTTTTTGAAAAACGTGTTATGGGTACATTTCGGACCTATTCGTCAATATCTCATGAAAAAATTATCCAGTCAACATAAGTGACCTACAGTCCTCTTACAAAACTATATTACTTTGCCGATTTCGATGAAAAATTGATTTTAAATCATTTTCTTTTTACAGTAAATGAAAATCTGATGAGAAATGTAGATGTTACGGAACATAATCTGCACAAAAAATATATATTTTTGCAAAGAGCCCATCAATACCTTTCGAACTGTTGGTCGTTTCATGAGATATTGAGGAATAACTGAAAAAGTACTAAAAATAGGTTTTTCGAACAAATCTCGAAAACACTTCTTTGAAACCATGGGTATTTTTTCGTGTTCAACGACCCAAAGCTTGCCTAAAAAATTTACTTTACAGAGGTTCATATTTCGTGTAAAGTAATATGTAATCAGCGTTGCCGCTTTGGTAATTTTTAACCAAATTTGGTAATTTTTTTCTTTATTTATCAAGTTTGGTAATTTGGTAATTTATTTTTCAATTTGGTAACTTTTTCGATTCGGTTTACATGGTTTTGATTCCACATTAGTAAGTGGCCCGTAAGCGTTTCCTTTTATAGAAATACCAGGTAATCCTGAAAGTTTCGCAAGGTGAAAATTGTTCCAGCGTTCCTTGGCTACTAGAATGGTGCGATCCTTAACAAACTGCTTGAAAGTGGCTATTGCTAAGAACATCCACCGTGCCCTTTCCTGGAAGGTTTTGGGTGGTTGTTGTTGTTGTAACAGCATACATATTCCCCAAAGAGATTTTGGGGAGTGTTGCTGGAGTGACAGTCCTTGGCCAGATATAAATCTGGGTTTTTCCTGTTACGTAGACCCGACTGTCGTGGGAACCTACCTTTCCCTGTCAGTTCGTCAGCTTTGCAATTACCATCAATTGTCCGGTGTACCCGGCAACCATATATATGAGTAGAATTCTACGAAAATATGTATGTTCTCGTTCAAAAAGCTACGGCATTCAGGGGGGACTTCACTCTGTCTATGTGTGAGTCGAAAGCTTTCCTACTTCCTTACAGTGGTCGAAAAAATTATAGCCGCACCATATTTTGACAAGTTTTAACATATTATTAAAAATTACCTAACTTATTTTATGTGCAGAACTGTACAAATATACATGTCGAGCCCTAACTGCCAAAATAACGTAATTATGTATGTTTGTGCAC